GCTCTACACGGACCAAACCGGGGCCAACATTTCCCGTACGGTTCTTCTGGGTGAAGAGAAAAACGACCGGTTTTACTCCCACGGGAAGTCACTCACGCGCCTGTCGATACAGTCCGTGATAAAAAGCGCGGTCACGGCCCGTACAAAGCCGTTGCCGATAAACCCAAAGAGCGGGCTCTATCTTCTTCTCACATCCGACGACGTGTACGTCCAGGATTTTTGCGGCCAAGTTTGCGGATTCCACTACTTCACATTCCCTTCAATCGTGGGGTACACGCTCCCGTACGCATGGGTGGGCAACTCCGCCAAGCTCTGCCCGGGAATATGCGCGTACCCTTTCGCCGTCCCGACATACATGCCGGGGTTGAAGCCGCTAAAGTCACCCAACGGTGACGTGGGCGTCGACGGGATGATAAGCGTCATCGGACACGAGGTTGCGGAGCTGGCAACCAATCCACTGGTGAACGCTTGGTACGCCGGGCAAGACCCGGTGGCTCCGGTGGAAATAGCGGATCTCTGCGAGGGCATTTACGGAACCGGGGGTGGTGGCTCGTACACGGGCCAATTATTGAACGATAGAGGTGGCGCCACGTATAACATGAACGGGATCAGACGGAGGTACTTGGTTCAGTGGGTCTGGAACCACATCGTGGGTTACTGTACCGGGCCTAATGCCCTTGATCAGTAATTTTTATTTTTGGTTATGTTTTTCGAACTCGTGTTTCTTTGTTTAAAAGTTTTTGTTTTTGCCTGTGGGGGGTATGGGTTTTGGTTGATGAATGATTAGTTAAAGTAGTTTTGTTAAATATGTACTTCTCTAGTATAATAAGTTTGATTTTCCTAATACACCATTTCGTATACCAATTACATTGTATTTGTGCTTCGATTCCCATCACCTTTCGATTCAGTTTCTTCCAATTTTCCTGGAAAATTTGTAATTCTTGAAAGAGTATTTACCTGACTTACCTTCTGATGTAGGAACATCTCTTGATAACCCGAGAGTGAGCTCATAAAAGAGTTGTTCGTGAACATAAAGGAATTGAATACACCTTGTTCGAGTTTTTTTTATTAAATGAACATAAAAAATCTTTAGTCATATTTGTTTATATTGATTAACAAATGAACATTATATTGTTTATATTGATTAACAAACGAACATCATATTGTTTATATTGATTAACAAACGAACATCATATGAACGGTATATGAATCTCACTTGAACGTTCTGTTCATTTATACCCCAAGCCATTGATATAACGTGCAAGTGCCTGTCCGTTAACTAATAACAATAATATCTCACCAGACCACCAAACCATAATGGCTAAATTTTTTTGCTTCTAATATACAACTGCACAATTATAGTGTAGCATAGCTGATGATTATCACCCAAGCAACAGCTCCACCAATATTAAAACTGGTAGGCTCAACCCAATTCAATGCACTCTGCTGCAGTATAGCACGTACTCGATTTAGATTAGTCGATTAATGGATCGAATAACAATATCTATATGCATTCTGCAATAATTCCCTAAAGATAAGCAGCTAGGAAAGTGGAGATTCTTCTTGTGCAGGCAGGGGACAAAATGAGACTAAAAATGTGTAAACATACTACATCTGAAAACTTGCAGCAGCATGTGGAGTTTGAAGCATGACGGGACATGATCAAAAAACTGTTGGGCGGTCCACGTGTAATACACAAAAATTTCAACAAGTGACTAAAATGTAAATTTTAAAAGTTGGGGCTAAATAATAAAATTAGAAAAGTTTAGAGACATAAAGTGTAATTTTGAAAAAGTTATATATTTTGGTTCTAAAAATGTATAGTTTACCTTAAAAGAATGATTTTTATGTCTGATTTTTTATCCGAAATTTGTAGAAAACACTTTTAATCGATAAAGTTCGATAAAATAATCGGATATTCGAATATAATAAAAAATTTACAAAAAATTGAAGGATTATAGTATGAGGTTAGAAATGTTGTTTTAATATTTTTAATATGAAGAAATCGAAGTGGATCATTCAGATTAAAAGAATTTACCATGTTTTAATGAAATAGTGAAATATAGTGACTAAATTGGATTTTTGGAAAATTAAAAGGACAAAGAGGAAAATTGATAGAAAATAATTTTATATTTATTTAAGATTATTAAATGGGAGATATTCATATCAATTTATGATCGGAAAGAGCGATGCACTTCCCCGCATTGTATTTCAGGTATTGCAAGGTAAAAGTTCCATGTTAAGTTGTCAAAGTGTGAATTCTAATTAGCGGAAGCTGTCTTTTTTACCACTTGTTTTTCATTGACCGCCTAGCTGGGAAGGGTTAGAAATCTCAGGGGGAAATTATAATTATAACTTGAAAATGAGAGGTAAAGTCCTAATGAAATTAAACTGGGGGTCCAAATAGGTAAATACCCCAATTAATTTAATAATAATAATATATTTTTATAGAAAAGGGTAAACTACACATTTAGTACCTAAACTATCAGTTTTGATCCGTTTCAATGCCTAAACTTTTATTTTTTTCAAAATCATACCTAAAGTTTAGTTTTCATTTCATTTAGTACCCTGTCGTTAAAATCTTGATTTGTTTAGTACCTACACTATCAGTTTTGATTCGTTTTAATACCTAAACTTTCAAAAAAAATTAAAACTTAACAATAATTTTTGAATGAGGATACTAAAATAAAACAAAAGCTAAAATTTTTAATAGCGTGATACTAAAATAAAACAAAAACTAAATTTTAAGTATGATTTTATAAAAAATGAAAGTTTAAATGATAAAAAGGACTAAAATTGATAAATTATATATTAAATACGTAAGTTACCCTAAAAATGGAGGGGACAACCTAATATACATGATCCAAACCAACTCAAAATATAAACCTAGCCCATCTATCCGCCCTATATATATATATATATAAACACAACAACAACAAAATAAACCCAACCAACCCTATTAGTTACTTTGGGGTAAGTTATTCTAGTCATCACTAAATTATGGAGTCAATTCTACTTTGACCATCAAACAACTACATTTGTCAATTAGATCACTAAATATTTAATTCAATTTCAATCAAAACACCTTTCATTAATTACAAACTGAATTATTGCCTTGAAAATTAAATAGATTTTTATAATATTATATTTAATCTCCATTATTTATACATTCTATCAATTAGATTATACAACCTATATGACACGCCCAACTAATGAAAGATACTTATTTCAACAAATAATTGATTAGAATTGTCCATTAATTATTTTAGGCTTAAGGGTCACATTTGTCCATGTTGTAGACTCAATTTATCACTTTCGTCCCTATCGTGTTTTCACAACAATTTAGTTCTTGAAGTTGTTTAATTGCATCATTATATATTCTACCCTGACTTAAAACCCTAAGTTATAGTTTATGGTTTAAAGGTTACGATGCTATGAGTTAGGGTTTAGGGTTTGTAATTTAGGGTTTTAAGTTAGGGCAGAGTATAGAATGATGCAATCGATCAACTTCGAAGGCTAAATTGATGTGAAAACATAATAAGAGAGAAAGTGATAAATTGATTTTCCTACATGGACAAAGATGACCCTTTTGCCATTATTTTAATTGTATTTCAAATTGCCTAACGGGGCTATATGTATTATTATGCCTTTAAAAATAAATATAATGTAATTTTTAACTATAAATTGATTTTTTTGGTAAAATATAACATATATAAAAAATTGCTCATAAGATTATAAAAGGATGTTAGATTTCAAAAATCTATAAAATGAATTATTTAATTAATCAATTATTACAAACATTTCACTATACCATTAAAAAATATGAACTTTTTAATAACAATCAAGTCATTTGAATTTATCAATTGTAATAATGAAACCTTTTTGATTTATCAATTGTTACAATCAAATTACTCTATTTGTAATTTAAAAAGTTAACGCTTCTTCTAAAATTGAGTAATTCATTTATAACTTTTAAAATTTGGTGTTACTCTTGTAATATTGCTAATAAATGAGCAAACTATAGTAGTTTAGGTTTAAAATATAAAATAGATGTTCAAATTACGTCGCTTTCCACGGATTGGTGTATAAACTAATTTTTGAATCATCCATGTACCTAACGTTACAGACGTTGCCACTTTAGATATTTCAGTTCTAATGACCGTTAAAAAGAATTCGTTAAGTGATATATGTCACAATTTGATAATTATGAAAATTATTATTTAAAAAGCAAACATAAAAATATTTTATTTTTGAAAAAGGCTCAACTTTTTCTTAAATGTCGAATAAACCCATACTCTTAAAATCTCTTATTATAGTCTCCAACCACCGGTCATCTCCGGTCACCTATTCGTTGATGATCGACCACTCACTAACTGGTCACAATCATTGTCATCACTCAAAACCCAAAATCCTTATATTTCAATCTCTAAAATCCCAAATATTCAATTCCTTAAATTCCTTTGGTCGATCATGGTAATCGATCGTTTAACCGATTGTGACAACCTATCATTTGGTCCGCTATTTGGCCATGGAAAACTGAGAAAAGCAAACAGGATAGGGGAGGTAGGGGACTCGAGTTGTTTATTTAAAAAATAATAATATTTTTAGTTTTTAAGAGAGATAAAAGTTTCAAAATTTTAAGATTATGACACATATTATTTAATGAGATTTTATAATGATCGTTACGGTTAAGACATCTAAAATGATAACTTTAGGCACTTAAATGATCTAAAAAATAATTTAAACACAAAATTTTGAAAAATGACATAATTTGGATGCTTATTTTATATTTAAGCCTATAGTTTAACCAAACATTAAAAATTTTAACCGTGAGTGGAGTAATCTATTTGAAATCAGTTGTGACAGTTAATCTTCAGACTCAGAGTGTTATGTGGGAATTACCGCCAGTTGCTCACGCACTCAAGGAGGAAAATACAGCACGCGCCCTTTCTTCTTCCCTCCTCCACAAAATAAATAAATACATAAATAAAAGCAAAAAAGAAATTCTCCCAAAATTTCCCTCCGCCACAACAATTCCTTCAAGGTTTCCTCTGTACTTTTGTTTGTTTGTCTGTTTCTTCGAAATCCAAATCCCATGCCAAAACCCTACCAACTGTGATAGTACTCTCCCTTTTTCTTTCCTAAATTAATAACTCCCCGTTCTAACTTTAATGGACTCCACTGCTTCATGGCTCTCCTCTCTTTCCCTTCATCGCCATTTCGATTCTTTTCTCCTCACTCGATCCTTCGTCGCCGTTCCTTCGTTTGCTCCTTTTCTGCTGCTACCGACGCCCGCTCTCGCTCCGCCATTCTCTGGTTCAAACACGATCTCCGCATCGATGATCACCCCGGCCTCGCCGCCGCCTCTCAAACGCACCGTTTTGTTCTCCCTCTATACGTCTTCGATCATCGCATTCTCTATCGTCTGTTCTTTACTCATTCTTTCTCTTTCTTTTTTGTACTTCGAATTTTATAAGTTTGTGACGTGCTTAGTAAATATCGAATTTCTCGTGAAATTTTGAAGATTCGAAGTTGTTTTTGACTGCATCCAGGTTATTCTGATGATACGCTGGAGCTACTTCTCTTCGCATTGGAAGATTTGAGGAACTCTTTGAAGGAACAAGGCTCCAATTTGATGGTTCGATTCGGCAGCGCTGAAAATATCATCAAAGAGCTTGTAAAAGAGGTTCGTTTCTATCTTACCTTTAGAAAAGGAGCAAATTTCGGACTCCTTTTTATTAAATTTTAAGCTTCTGATTTGAACAGGTGAAAGCTACGGATGTGTTTATTGAAGAAGAGGTAGAGTATGAAATGCGTCAGCTGATTGGAGTTGTCAAGGAGACATTGGAAACGTCGTCGTCTTTAGATGGAAATTTAGACATTGTCATGTGGAGAACTCCATTCTATGATATCAAGGTGCCAACGTTTATTTTTATTCCATTTGCACTTGAATTTTCTTAGGCATCTAAGTGAATCTCTTGCATTATACATTTAAGGACGAATTGATTTGGTTTTTCTGTTTCTAAGGTTTTGCATTGTGTACTATAATGTGCTCTGTAGGAACTGAAGGAGCTACCTGCATCATATAATGACTTTAAAAAGATGAAGTTACTACCAACTTCGCCTACCCATCCAGCAACATTACCTGTTGCAGAGACCGAGTTAGATTGGGGTAAGTTTCTGGTGGTAAATTGGTTACGTTTGTCCTTAATTGGCCTATTTTAAGTGCTTTAACGTGTGATGATTTGCGGAGTTTTTTTGTTTGTTTATTATGTGGTTCTGATTATGCCTATGGAACATAATAATTGGAATATGAATCAGGTCCTCTACCTTCTTTTAGTGATATTAGGGATTTTATCGAAGAGAGAATAGGAAAATCGAAAGTGAGTTGGAATTTGATGAAAGGGAAGTCAGCTGAAGTCATATTGAAGGAGAATTTTTCAAAACTATCAGGAACCAAACCAAAATTTTTGAACGTTGAAAGCAATGAGAGAAGGAGACTCGATAAATCTGTTTTTGTTACACGAAAAGGTGATATTGTGGGTGGTGGAACAAACTCTGTGCTGAATGCTTTGGCTGCATACCTGAGATACTTGGAAGGAACAGCCCGAGATGACTGGCAAGAGTATGTGACAAATTTACCCTATCTAATTCATTTTGCTCGTGTCTTGGGATATTTTTGCGTATATATATTTGATTGTGTTTGAGTTGTTGAGAGGTTTTGGGTATGGGAACAAATTTGTACATGTTATTTCTTTCTATCAGTTTGTAATTTATTTGTATGAAATGGAAAGAATGTTATTGGATGATGACATTCACAAATTTAGATTACTCTTTTATGTTTTAATCAGCTAAATCTCTTCTTTCTCAATTTCATTGTAGAGTACATGAAAGGCTACGCAATGCTGAAACCCGTGAAGGGGCCTCTTTTACTTCACTTTTTGGTCCTGCTCTTTGCCTTGGCACAATATCTAGAAGGACAGTGCATTATGAAGCCATCAAATATGAGAGAGAACGTAATGCTGGATTCTTATCTCCATTTGGATATTCTGCAGCCTCTGTTGCTGCAGCGGCTGATGCTGTATGCTCCATGGAGGTAATTACTGCTTTATATTGGCATTTACCTAAATAGAAATGCTCAGAGTATGATTCCTCTGAATGGTTTTATTCTTTGTGTTTTCCATCGAAAGTTTTATTTTCCCTCTTCTTTGGTTTTAGTATAATTTGTAGTGCAGGGCCTTACTAAAGCATTACGGTTGATTTTGGTGACAGTGGTTTTCGCTTTTGGCTCTAAAAAGTCAGCTAAGTAAGGAAGGACTGTACTCTATATGTATTTGGAGGTGGCGTGGACATCTAATTCAGGTTTGCTAGTTAGGATAAGAGACTTTAGGCTACCTTGATATACTTAATTACTATTGTCTGGATTATAGATTTCTGTAAATTATGGTTAGGAACCAACATTTTTTTTCCTCCAGTACACAGTAGTCGGATATGAAGGTCCTGCTATTCTGCTCGTGCATGGTTTTGGTGCCTTTCTCGAGCACTACCGTGACAATATAAATGGCATAGCTGAACGTGGGAACCGTGTCTGGGCGATCACACTGTTAGGATTTGGCAAATCAGAAAAGCCCAACGTTGTGTATACCGAACTTCTGTGGGCTGAACTACTGAGAGACTTTATCGTTGAAGTTGTGGGTGAGCCTGTGCATCAAGTGGGAAACTCAATTGGTGGTATGCTATTAATGTTAACCTATTCTGTATCGTTTCTACATTACCCACAACAATCTCTTCCTCTCTAGCTGAAAATAGCTTTCTGTTTGACTCAACAGTTTGTCATTATTTTCTTTGTTTATCTACTTATTGTATCTCCAGGTTATTTTGTCTCTATTGTTGCTGGTCTCTGGCCTGCTTTGGTCAAGTCTGTCATCCTTATTAACAGTGCTGGCAATGTTATTCCTGGATTTTCTTCTCGCCGCATTTCTAACGTAAGTTTAGCCGAATACTTCATAAATTTTATGTTCTTAATTTGTGTCTAACATTTTTTTATGAAAGATGGCATGTGTTTTTTTGTTTGTTCGAAGCTATCTGCTTTGTCAGTTATTGCTGAGAAATTGTGTGATTATTTGGCAATTTGTTTCTCTTGTATTTATTTTGGTTCTTACCTGTTCCGTACAAACTGAAAATGAGGTTAAGATACAAGTTTTTCCTCTTGCTGTCTTCAGAAATATCCTATTATCGAATTATAGTTTTAATAAACATCCCCAGTGTGTGATATTCGGTATATAAATGTTTCAGGAGAGGCAAACCTTAGCTGCTGCAGGGCTGGTTGCTCAACTTCTTTTGTTCTATTTGAGGTTGAATATCAGGAACACGGTTAAAAGTTTCTACCCAACTGTAAGGTTTCTTCTATTGCTGCTTCCCATTATCTTATCTTGCTATCCTTTTATATGTTGCCTTTGACTTCTGCAGAAAACCGACCGAGCTGATAATTGGCTTATAAATGAAATGCTAAGAGCAGTATCCTCCTCACTGTTATTTGAAGTGCAAGATCAGGTGCACACGTACATATTTGACATTATGCTAAACCACAAAATGTTGTTTAGTGGAAGTAGGATTTAACGTCTTTCCCCATTAAAAGAATGACCTTAACATACTTAAGTCCAATGATCCCGGTGTGATAGTGGTCGTGGAAAGTATTTTCACCTTCGACCTCTCAATCCCTCTGAACTATCTCTTGGAAGGATACGAGGAACGGGTTCTAATTCTACAGGTAAAACCCCCTCTATTCCGAAGAGGAAGTTAATAATCTTTATCGTTCTCTATGGCGTGTGGTTCTTTTACTTTCGAGTGTTTCTTTCTGTATATCTTTGTTAGGGAATGAAAGACCCTCTCTCTGACTCAAAGGCCAAACTAGCCATGCTCAAAGAGCATTGTACCGGGCTTGTAATAAAGGAACTGGATGCTGGTAATAAGCTTTATCTATCACCAAAATAATCTCACCCAGTCCCACACCTTTACCGGTTCCCACACCTTTTGACATTTCAGGTCATTGCCCCCACGATGAGCATCCGCAGGAGGCCAACCGAATCATCTGTGAATGGATAGTAGCTGTTGAAAGAAAACTAACCGCAAACACTTATTCGTAGCGCTCGGCATTCCTTCCCAAGTAAGCCTCATTTTTATCTCGATGCTGTCTGTAGTTTGTTAAATCAGGTTTAGGCTTTTGTGAGGCCTCGTGTATATCTTACGAAATGCTAAATTAAAATCGAAGAATCTCTTAAAGGCTAACGTCTTACCAATTTTCAATGAACGATAGCAATGGCACTGTCATTGTCATTTGTATCTCTCTTTACTCGGGGGATATGGTATATAATGAATGCCATTTGAGCTCATGTTTATAATATCACATTTGATACCTATACTTTAATAAAATATCTAATGTGATATATGTACTTTTGAATTGTTCAATGTGACTTGTTTTTTGATAAAATATTCAATATGGTACTTACACTTATGCATTTTAAAGGAAGCTTGGACTCATATTTGATTTCAATGCCATTTTCATGCTTAAATTTTTAATTCAATGCCTTTAGATTTAGGAGTTTTTTTTTCTTCATATATCCCTTATTAATTAAGAAAATAAATTACTACATGTTTGGAACATTATAAACCAGTGATGAAAAAGACATTTTTTAAATCTATAAATACCAAGTGATCAATTAGGCTTTAATCATTGAAAGTGACAACTATTGTACCCATCGGTATATGGGATTTTATCACTCAATTGTTTTCTTAAAGAGAACTACTAATCTTTAAAAAATAGTGTTAAATCAATTGCATATTGACCTTTTGATTATGATTGATTCATTAATTAGTTAATTTATACTTTTCCCATTTCTTTAATCATCATCGTGTTCAAACTTGTGAATAATTTGAGGTGAATTTCTAGTAATTTGACTAATAAATTCATTTAAAACTTTTTTTCTTTCTAAATAATTAAATTAATCTAACTGATTATTAAAATATTATGTCAACGTATGTATTAATCTAATACTTTTAAAATAAATTAATATTATGTCGACAAATTGTCTCGACTATATGATACTGTTTTATTATGTCTCTTAACTATTAAAAGTTACGGAATGGACCTTTGATTATAGAGTGTTGCTTTATTGAGTTTCTCTACTATTAAAAGTTAGAAATTGGTCATCTGATTATTCATTATATTTAAAACTCATTATTTTTTATTAGAAAAAAGACAATATTCTTAGTTGAATGTTAATTTGCTCACTATGATATAATAAAATTTGATCATAGAATCTCAAACGATTATTATATTCTAGTCATCATGTTATTGTCTAGCACATACACTCGTCAATCTTACAAAGGAAAAAGACGAGTTTGGAACATAAAAAATAGTAGAGTGATTATTTTGTAACTTTTAATAGTCGGAGATTTAATAAAACATCTATAGTCAGAATATCATTTTATAACTTTTAATAATTGAAAGATTTAATAAAATAATATTATATAATCGAAAGACCATTTGTTTAATTTGCTCAAAAAATTTAAATATCAAATTAAAAAATTATCAAATTGAGATATTGATTTATATATTAAACCTTAAAAAGGAAGAACGGCCCACAAATTGCTTAATCGAAATCCGAATGTCTTTACAAAAAGGACCTAAACTCATGTAAAAAGCTCAGAATCCCATTTTTTTTTACACAAATCCCACTCAAAAAGGGTGTTTAATTCCTCTCTCTCTCTCTCTCTCTAGAGCTTAGAGAGGGAAAACGCCATGGATGTGAGGAAAACAGTAGTTGTGGTCGAAGACGTCGATGTATCGAGATCAGCACTTCAATGGTGTCTCAGCAATTTGCTCCGGTACAGCGATTCGCTGACTCTGCTTCACGTCTTCTCGGCAACGAAATCGATGAGCAAAAGGAAAGCGAGGATGCTCCGGCTGCAAGGCTATCAGCTGGCTCTCTCCTTCAAGAAAATATGCAACTTCAATTTCTTTAACGTGAGTGACTCGAATCAGTACCCTGTTATCACATATTACGAGACAATTTTCTTCTTTTTGTTAATGTTCGGAGAATTTTGTTAAACAGACAAATATTGAGATGATTGTGACGGTAGGGGACCGGGAAGGGAGGAAGATCGTGGCCATGGTGCGAGATATTGGCGCCTCTGCTTTCGTTGTTGGCCTTCATCATCAGAGCTTTCTTTACAAGTGAGTCAGCTCAACGCGTCTCTTTGTGTTAGTTACTTGTTGCATAAAATGCACTATCTCAAAATAGTATTTTTGGTCAGCTAATTTTTAGATTTTATAAAATGGTCAATAAACTTATCAAACTATTATAAAATAATTGTTTCATATAATAAAATATTAATAAATTTTGATAAGAATAAAGATAATTCCTGTAATAGTTCGATAAGTTTAATAATTATTTTGTATAGTATGATAAATTTTAATGACTTTTTAACTATTTATAAAATTTAATGATCATTTTATAACATTTAAAATTTATCGACTAAAAAGATCATTTTAACATAATCTAACTACACTCTAGTGTACTTCACCCTTATTTGTTTAATCATTGTTTTTAGAGGTATACAAAGAGATGATCAAAACTGCCATAAGATATTAGGTTGGCAATTTTCAAGACCTTTTTTTTTTAAATTTTGGTCGAATTTAGATGATTATAGCCAATTATTGACAGTGATGATATCGAACATGTCACGATTGAAGGGATAAAATCATTATTTTTTTATTGGTATTATAAATCAAAGTTCGACTCTTAATATTATTCATTATATTTGACTTGGACAAGCATGTGGCTCTGTCAATGGTGAAGAAAGAGCCAAAAGGAAATTTTGGGTCCACCTTGTTTGCTAAATGTGTATATCTTACATATATGTATTGACAATAACTGTTGGGATGCTATTAAGATATAACTTAGCTCTCTTGTCTGTTAGCAATGGATGAAAAGTTCCCTAAACCCTAAAGCATAGGGCGATTCTGAGATCAAATGGCTAGGAATTCTTATATTTGAACATTGTTAGACCACAAATTCATTACCATACCAATCATTATTTTTTTATTGGTATTATAAATCAAAGTTCGACTCTTAATATTATTCATTATATTTGACTTGGACAAGCATGTGGCTCTGTCAATGGTGAAGAAAGAGCCAAAAGGAAATTTTGGGTCCACCTTGTTTGCTAGATGTGTATATCTTACATATATGTATTGACAATAACTGTTGGGATGCTATTAAGATATAGCTTAGCTCTCTTGTCTGTTAGCAATGGATGAAAAGTTCCCTAAACCCTAAAGCATGGGGCAATTCTGAGATCAAATGGCTAGGAATTCTTATATTTGAACATTGTTAGACCACAAATTCATTACCATACCAATCTTTTATAGAACATTATCTGCATTCTTTAATTTTCTAATGGTCCAAAGTTTTTTTTGGGTACAAATTGTATATATATGCACACACTATCCAAGGTTCACTCGAATTCTAATAACATTTTAGTAGAAGTTTTTTTTAAAGGGCATCAGAGTTCCTGTACTTTAAAAAAAATCAATTTTACTCTCATGTTATTATTTTTTTTCAATGTGACCCTCCAACTCAGAAAACAAACTCAGTGTGACCCTTTGACCATCGTTTTTTTGTCGTTGTCCTTTACAGTGTTGTCATGTCAGTTCACGGTGCTGATAAGTGGACTGTCATGTTAGTATAGTGAACTGCCACGTCAACATCGTAACGTTCAACGATAAAAAATGTTGGTCAAATGGTCACATTGTGTTTATTTTCTACGTTGGAGAATCACATTGAAAGAAACAATAATACGATGGCCACTTTATTTTTTTAAGTACAAAGACCTCTGATGTTTTTTTTTTTTATAAAATGTGGCATTGTCTCCAAAAGCATATTTAAGATATTGTCATGCGTCTTTGTATATTATAAGTGGTTCCACTGGCAATAGGTTGGCATTGGCCCACGACAGCATAGCAAACAGCTTGAGCTGCAGAGTACTTGCCATCAAACAGGCAGAGTTCCAACCACTGAGGGGCAGGACTAAAGAAATGTTACCCCCATTGGAGGGTTCAACTGTTGAAAATTGGCACACCAAATTTCATCAATTGTCAACATTATGGGTTGCAATTTGGTGGCATTAATGGGGTGGTAAAATTGGTCAAATTTGGTCACCAAATTGTTGTAAATTTTGGATGGTAAAACTATGCAATTAGTCATTATAATTTAGGGTATTTACAAATTAGTCCTTAAAGCTTCAACTATAAATACCCTAGCTCATTTAGCTTCAAAACCATCCCAAAGCATTCTAGCTTTCTTCCAATACTAGAGAGAATTTAGAGAGTTTCTTGAGAGTTGTTTTCTCCTTTTTATCGAGAGAGAATTATCATTATTTTCTCCTTGGTAGATCGAGAGAGGTTGTAATTACTATTTTCTCATAGTGAAATTCTTCTACCGTTGCCCGTGGTTTTTACCCTAAATTTTTAGAGGTTTTCCACGTAAATTTTGTGTTTCTTTTATCTTCATTTTATTTTCTCAAATTATCAGTTGCGACTTTGCTCTATCCGATAGCCGTCTTCCGCAACAATTGGTATCAGAGCTAGATTAGAGTGTGTAATATCTGCTTATTGTCTTTGTGGTTGCCACCAAAAGGTGGATCATCCAACATAAGAAAATAAGAAGTTATTATCCATTCTTTGAAGGTTCCAGAGAACTATTCACGATAGTGAAATAGTGGGAGCTATCCGTAGAAGAATCTATGGCAACAAAATTTGATATTGAAAAATTCAATGGGAGAAATTTCTCATTGTGGAAATTGAAGATGAAGGCCATCCTAAGGAAAGACGGGTGTCTAGCGGCTATCAATGAAAGGCCGGTGGATTTCGCAGATGACATCAAATGGAACGAGATTGACGGGAATGCTATGGCAAACTTTCATCTAGCATTAGCAGATGAAGTATTGTCAAGCATCGAGGAAAAGAATACAACTAAGGAGATATGAGATCATCTCATCAAATTGTACGTTTCACAATAAAATTTTCTTTAAGAGGAAATTGTACGCTCTCCGTATGCCAGAATCTTCTTCAGTGACGGAACACTTAAATACACTGAACACCTTATTTTCTCAGCTTACATCCTTAAGCTGTAAAATAGGAGAACAAGAACGTGCTGAACTTCTACTTCAAAGTCTACCGGATTCGTACGATCAACTCATCATCAACTTGACAAACAATAATGTCATTAGTCTAGTCTTCGATGACTTTGCAGCTGCTGTTCTACAAGAAGAAAATCGGCGCAAGAACAAGGAAGACAGACAAGTAAATCTGCAACAAGCAGAAGCGTTGACAAAGATGAGAGGGAGATCAACAGAACGTGTCCAAAGCAGCAGTCATAAACATGGTAGATCGAAGTCGAGGAGCAAGAAGAATTTAAAGTGCTACCACTGTGGAAAGAAGGGTCACTTGAAGAAAGATTGTTAGAGTCTAAATAAAAACTCCAATCCACAAGGCAATACCGCAAACACTTCAGATGATGGAGATGCTCTATGCTGTGAAGCGTCAACCACAGTGGAAGACAGAAAAAGATTTGCAGATCTATGGCTCATTAATTCGGGAGCGACATATCACATGACCTCAAGAAGAGAATAGTTCCATCATTATGAACTTGTCTCAGGAGGATCTGTGTATAGTTGCAATGATCATGCCTTAGAGATCGTTGGTGTGGGAACCATCAAATTGAAGATGTATGATGGAACAATTAAAGTTGTTCGAGATGTGTGGCACGTGTAAGGTCTGAAGAAAAATTTATTATCTTACGGATTGTTGGATAATAATGCTAGCTAGATTGAAACACGGAAAGGAATCATGAAGGTGTTCCGTGTAGCGCTTGTGGTGCTGAAAGGTGAAAAGATAGTTGCAAACTTGTACATGCTGAAGGGAAAGACATTGTTAGAAGCAGAAGCCTCTGTTGCCTCATATAGTTCAGATTCTGCAATGCTATGACATAAGAAACTTGGACACATGTCAGAAAAAGGAATGAAAGTCCTTGTGGAGCAAAAGTTACTTCCAGGCTTAACAAATGTATCACTTACTTTGTGTGAGCATTGCATAACAAGTAAGCAGCATCAGATGAAATTCAACACATCAAATTCTAGAGGCAAAAGTGTTCTAGAATTGGTTCACTCTGACGTATGGCAAGCACCAGTAACATCCCTAGGTGGAGCAAAATACTTTGTCTCATTTATTGATGACTACTCTAGGAGATGTTGGGTGCACCCTATTAAGAAGAAGTCAGACGTGTTTTCAACTTTCAAAAACTTCAAAGCGCGGGTGGAACTTGATTCTGGAAATAAGATCAAGTGTTTCAGAACAGATAATGGAGGAGAATACACAAGCGAAGAATTTGATGACTTTTGCAAGAAAGAAGGCATCAAAAGACAATTCACAGTGGCGAACACTCCTCAACAAAATGGAGTGGCAGAGCGGATGAACAGAACCTTGTTAGAAAGAACAAGATCAATGTTGAGGGACGCAGGCCTAGAAAAATCATTATGGGCAGAAGCAGTCAATACCGCCTGTTATTTGGTAAATCGAGCTCCATCAACTGCAATAGAGCTGAAGATACCAATGGAGATGTGGACTGGTAAACCAGTTGATTATTCAAACCTCCATGTATTTGGAAGTATTGTGTACGTGATGTACAACGCCCAAGAAATTTCAAAGCTGGATCCAAAATCCAGGAAATGAAAATTCTTGGGGTATGCTGATAGAGTAAAGGGGTATCACTTGTGAGATCCCACTACCCGCAAAGTGATCATTAGCAGGGATGTTATCTTTGTAGAAGATAAACTACAAAGAAAAGAAGACGATGATAGCGCTGAAAAGTCAGAGACTACTCAGATACATGTGGAAAAAGAGTTTGAAGAAGGAGATTCTTTTGAAGCAGAACCAGCACATGATGAACAAGAACCAAAGAGTTCTGAAGCTCCAACAACTCGTCAATCAGATCGTGTGAGAAGACGTCCCAATTGGCACTCAGATTATGTTATAGAAGGTAATATTGCATACTGCCTTTTAACAGAGGACGGTGAGCCATCAACATACCAAGAGGCAATAAACAACTCAGATGCTTCACTGTGGATGATGGCGATGCAAGAAGAAATCGAAGCCCTTCATAAAAATAATACATGGGACCTTGTACCACTACCACAAGGAAGGAAGCCAATTGGTAACAAATGGGTTTTCAAAATCAAGCGAAATGGTGACGATCAAGTTGAGAGGTATCGTGCAAGACTGGTGGTCAAAGGATATGCTCAAAAAGAAGGTATTGATTTCAATGAAATATTTTCTTCTGTGGTTCGACTAACAACAGTTCGAGTAGTTTTGGCAATGTGTGCTACATTGAACTTACATCTAGAGCAGCTAGATGTTAAAACAGCTTTTCTTTATGGAAATCTTGAAGAAGAGATTTATATGCTCCAGCTTGAAGGTTTTGAAGAAGAAGAAAAGAAGAACTTGGTTTGCAGGTTAAACAAATCTTTGTACGGTCTAAAGCAGGCACCGAGGTGTTGGTATAAGAGATTTGATTCCTTCATTATGTGCCTTGGATACAACAGACTTAATGCAGACCCTTGTGCTTATTTCAAGAAGTCTGGTGATAACGATTTTGTTATATTGTTGTTGTATGTGGATGATATGTTGGTTGCAGGACCCAACAAATATCATATTGAAGAATTGAAGGCACAACTGGCTAGGGAATTTGAAATGAAGGACTTGGGATCAGCAAACAATATTCTAGGGATGCAAATTCACCGAGACAGAAGTAATAGGAAGATTTGGCTTTCACAAAAGAATTACTTGAAAAAGATCTTGTCACGATTCAGCATGCAAGATTGTAAGCCAATTTCTACCCCTCTTCCTATTAACTTCAAATTATCCTCCCGTATGAGTCCTAGCAGTGAAGAAGAGAGGATAGAGATGTCTCGAGTATCGTATGCATCAGCAGTGAGAAGTTTAATGTTCGCTATGATATGCACAAGACCAGACATTGCACAAGCAGTGGGAGTGGTTAGTCGATACATGGTGAATCCAGGCAAAGAGCATTGAAATACAGTAAAGAGAATCCTGAGATACATCAAAGGGACCTCAAATGTTGAATTATGTTACGGAGGATCAAACTTACTAATCAATGGGTATGTAGATTCTGACTATGCAGGGGATTTGGATAAAAGCAAATCTACAACAGGATATGTGTTCATTGTTGCTGATGGAGCTGTAAGCTGGGTTTCTAAGTTGCAGTCAGTTGTGGCTACATCCACAACAGAGGCAGAATATGTAGCAGCTACACAAGCCAGTAAAGAAGCAATTTGGTTGAAGATGCTATTGGAGGAGCTTGGGCACAATCAGGAGTATGTCTCTCTGTTCTGTGACAGTCAAAGCGCCTTGCATCTAGTAAGGAATCCAACATTTCATTCAATGACTAAGCACATACGAGTTCAATACCATTTCATTCGCGAAAAGGTGGAAGAAGGAACAGTAGATATGCAGAAGATCCATACCAAAGACAACATAGCAGATTTCATGACGAAGGCAATCAATGCTGATAAATTTACCTGGTGTCGATCCTCCTGTCGCCTGTCAAAAACGTAAGCAACATGAAAGGTACAAGTGCATTAATTGTCAATATTATGGGTGGCAATTTGGTGGCATTAATGGGGTGGCAAAATTGGTCAAATTTGGCCACCAAATTGTTGAAAATTTTGGATGGTAAAACTATGCAATTAGTCATTATAATTTAGGGTATTTACAAATTAGTCCTTAAAGCTTCAACTATAAATACCCTAGCTCATTTAGCTTCAAAACCATCCCAAAGCATTCTAGCTTTCTTCCAATACTAGAGAGAATTTAGAGAGTTTCTTGAGAGTTGTTTTCTCCTTTTTATCGAGAGAGAATTATCATTGTTTTCTCCTTGGTAGATCGAGAGAGGTTGTAATTCCTATTTTATCATAGTGAAATTCTTATACCGTTGCCCGTGGTTTTTACCCTAAATTTTTAGGGTTTTTCACGTAAATTGTTTCTTTTATCTTCATTTTTATTTTCTCAAATTATCAGTTGCGATTTTGCTCTATCCGATAGACGTCTTCCGCAACATCAACTACCATGGACTTTTCCCAAATCGAAATTTCCGGTTTACAGTAAGATCTCAAACCCACCAATTTTGTTTCCTCTTCTTTTCAAACATTCTCATTTTTCTTGCACTCTGCCGTCGGATCAAGTTTTCTACCGACACGGGTTGTGTCGGTTGACGGAAACTTGTTAGCATCTTGACAAGCATCGAGGTTTTATTATCGCCAATAGTCTGATATTCCGTAAGGCAGTGACGGGGTAGGAAAACACCTGGGTTCAAGCCTATCTAATAGTCCGGTGATGTGTGAATATTACCTTTTTGACGTACCCTGACCTGTGACACTTCATTCATTGTAGAGGACCTGATATTCCTACACCAAAAGTCCCGTGCCGAATCTGTCCAACCCCTTCTGCAATTATTTGGAGGTCGAGGAAGAAAAGGAGCTATTCAAATGGAGATTGGCGTTGAAACTTAGATTATTGTTACTGTTATTATTGAATCTAAAATGCACATAGTTTGTCAGCTAATGTTCATTGCAATTTGGGTTTATCTCACAAAACACGGTGGAAATTAATCCCATAAGACATTGTTTTGTATACTTTAATCAGTGAAATAGTGATTTAATCCGAACTTGTAACATTTTGTATATATCAAGATGTTGTTCCAAGAATACATTAAGTCATTGTTAATGATAATTTTTTTAAATTATAATAAAATTATTGATTTAATTTATAATTAATATATCCTTGTTTTTCAATTAATCTATGGTGATTACAAGCGATAGTATATGTTTTAAAGGTTTTCAATCATTTGAAAATGAATGTTTAAATATCTCGAAGTCGTCGGTGCTCGAACTTGAGTAGGGATGACAAACTGGCGGAGATGATGCAAATACCTCTTTTCCCGTCCTCATGCTCACATAATATTTTCGTATCTACTACTTACCCACCGCTCACTATGAGTAAATTTTTTAAATCCCTCACAAACACTAGTACATTTTTAAATCTACCCTACAACCATTATCGAACTAGATACCTATCACCTATCTCGTACATGCCCATACCCGTCTTCGCAACAACCTCGCAGATTATATTAACAATAAAAAATAAAACAAACACGTCCATTAAGAAACATAATAAAATAAATCAAGGATTAATATGTGTTTATACCTTAACATTTGGTTAAATTAGAAGTGGTGTCCTATAAAATCTTGAGATTTATAGAATAGTCACTGAAATTATACCAAATTTATATGGTGGGTAATTAGTGACCGAGCGGATGCAGGGCAGGTAAGATATCAAACACATCACCTACATGATACCCACATCGGTATAACTTTTTGCATCCACATTCGTCCAAATATCTACTAAACTTATATCCATTCATGCTCTAATTGAAACGAGTGCAGTGCAAAATCCATAAATTGTATTTGTCTATCATCCCTAAACTCAAAGCTTCTAAAAGTAACAATCATCGTTTAGCCATTAAAGTGAGTTAGTTTGTGCAATATATCTATAAATCAATACACTACATTTTCAACCATAACTAAAATATATTTATATTTGAATGTTGATTGTTCGATTTTGAGCCGAGGCTCGGAACTTTCTTTAGCTTAGTGGGCTCAGCAAATCGAACCATCAGCCTTTTGTAGCTGTTCCAAGCCTTGATTAAGCCAGCCCAGCCACACCCATTTATAATAATTGAAAAAAAGAGTATTTAATTAAGAAAATGAAACGAAAGCTGGCTCGGTTTCTCAGCACTCGAGCCTGAGACTGCAACCCGTGCTTTGTAGAGCCACTCGCTCGAGTCCGTTTGCCTTCATCTCTCACCAGCCGAGCCAAAAGATAAAGCAAAATAACAGAAAAAAAGGGGTAAATCTTTAGATATATAGTTAGGTGTCCGTGTTGGCAAACTCAACTCGCTTCGCGGCTCAGTAAAGTAAAAGCTGATTTGAGTTTGTTTGTTCTTATGGACTTTACTTTGGTTTCATCGGCTTAGATCCCCGGCTTAGATCTACGCCGATCTCTTTTCCTTTCCCTCCATTTCTTCGCTCTTCTTCCCTTTCCTCTTCTTTTACTCCTTTCACCTCTGATTCTGCATATTCAAAGCTTAAAACTAGAGAATTCATTAACCCAGACTCTTGTACTTTCGGAACAATCAAGACTCTTTTTTCTGAACCTTCTTTGCTTTGGTTTCCTGGGTTTTGATTGTTAGGCTTAGATTTCAATGAAACAGTGCTTCTTCTGCTGTCGGCTCTGTCTTTGACTTTCAGGGTAAATCTTTTGGCTTTTCCGGTTTTTGATTTATTTAGAATTCAAGCTTTCTTGGTTAGCTGTTTTTGCTGCTCAATTTGTTTGAAATCCCATTTTCCTTTTGCAGAAAAGGGTGATTTTAAGTGGGAAAACTGGAAACAAAGATGGATTGGAGTATGAACAATGCCTTCAAGACATACAAAGGTATCTTCTTATCCCTGTATATATTTAGCTGCTTACATATTGCTTCGAAGTGATCAATTTTGCTTATGTTTTTTGGTTATGTAGTTGACTCAGAATTTACAGATTTAGTCAATTGTGTTGTAGAAATAAGTTTACGAACTGGGATTTATATCACCTCTAATTGATTGTATATAATTTTCAATTGTTGCTGTTATAGCAGATATGCAACCCAGAACTATGATGGATCTGGGACTGATTTCTAACATTGATCCAATAGATATCGAACTCGATTCTTCGGAAAAGGGAAATATTGCTTCCACGTCTAAACCGAGGAAGAAGACGCTGACATCGGTTTACCTAAAGTATTTCGAGACAGCTCCCGACGGTAAAACTCGAAGGTGCAAGTTTTGCGGGCAGAGCTATTCTATAGCAACTGCAACAGGTAAGTCCTGTGGAACTTTTGGCTATGATAATATAATCATTCAATATAATTATTCTCTCATCCATTTGATGACCCCTTTTTTTGTAGGCAATTTAGGAAGACACCTTAATAATCGGCATCCCGGATATGATAAGATAGGGGAGAACGTTGCTAGTCCAGCTCCGTCGCCTGCCACCACCGTGATCAAGAAATCGCAACCGCAAGGGAGAGCACCTCAGGTTGATTATGATCATCTGAACTGGTTGCTTATTAAATGGCTCGTTTTAGCTACACTTCCTCCTTCAACCTTAGAGGACAAGTGGTTATCGAGTTCGTTTAAATTTTTGAATCCATCGATACAACTGTGGCCGGGTGAGAAGTACAAGGCAGTGTTTCGTGAAGTTTTCAGGAGCATGAGAGAAGATGTCAGAGTTTCTTTGGAACAAGTTTCTTCCAAGGTCTCAGTCACCCTTGATTTCTGGACTTCATACGAACAAATCTTTTATATGAGCATTACGTGTCATTGGATCGATGAGAATTGGTCGTTTCGAAAGGTGCTTCTCGATATATGTCAGGTACTTTATCCCTGTACAGGTTCTGAGATATATAACTCCCTGGTAAAGGTTCTTAGGATGTACAATATAGAGAATAAAGTACTCTCCTGCACCCACGATAACAGTCAGAATGCTATCCGTGCTTGCCACTCTTTAGAGGAGAACATCAATGGTCATAAAGTTGGGCCGTTCTGTTATATCCCTTGCACTTCTTGTACATTGAGTTCGATTATAGATGATGCGTTGAGAATGGCAAAACCCATTATTTCGAAGATCAGGGAATTCGTGCAAGAGATGAATGCATCGGTGGATACCTCGGAGGAGTTCATTCAATTAGCAACAGCTTACCAAGAAGGTAGTTGGCAATTTCCGCTTGATGCTTCAGCAAGGTGGAGTGGCAATTACCAAATGCTTGATCTTGTTCACAAGGTACTTGTTTCTTTAACGTAATAACTCCTTACTAGGTACGACTATGAGAATATTCGATTTGAATCTTTTTAATATCGGAACAGGCCGGGAAGTCGATGGATGCTGTTGTCAGGAAAAATGAGGATATGCTGGGAAGCGGGATGTTACTGAATGCTGCGGAGAAGAATGTCATCAATATCGTTCACGATTACTTGGAGCCCTTCTACAAAGTCATCAACGAGATATGTGTAAACAAGTACCCTCCTACTATCGGGATGATTATTGTCTACATGGATCACATTTCGGATACAATTGCAACTCGACAACCACCGGACTGGCTAAAGAATTCTTCTGAAGAAATGTTCAAAAAGCTCAGAAGTTACAACGATCAGGTTTGCAATATGTTCATCTACATGACAGCCATTCTCGATCCCCGAATTAAATGTGAACTCATACCCGAGAGTCTCAACTTGGAAAACTATCTAGAAGAAGCAAGAGCCCATTTCATTAGAAATTATTGTAGCAATAATTTTTCATCCATGACAAGTGGATACTCTGCTCAAGATATTGACAATGGAGCAAGTGTTTCTTTCGCTGAGGAAATCGCTCGAAAAAAGCGAAGAGCGAGCATGAACAATGCTACCGATGAGCTCACTCAGTACCTTTCTGAGTCTCCAGCTCCTACAAAAACAGACGTTTTGGAATGGTGGAAGGTCAACAGTACACGTTATCCTCGGCTCTCCACAATGGCTAGAGACTTTCTTGCTGTCCAAGCAACTTCAGTGAAACCCGAGGAACTATTTTGCAACAAAGGCGACGAGATCGATAAGCAACGTTATTGTATGCCACATGATAGTACACAAGCTATACTATGTATCAAGTCATGGGTTGAGGGAGGTCTCAAGTTAAAGTATAAATCAACCGAAATTGACTACGAGAGATTGATGGAATTGGCAGCTGCTGCAACCACAACTAATAGCCCAACTGGTACTGTTAAAAGGCAAAAGTGAAATAGAAGGTGGATCTGAAAATGGTTAAATTATTGTGATTAACTGAATTCTCATCATTTGCTTCTTAATGTTGTCTGTATGATAACGGAAATCATATATTTACATATATAGTTCAGAATTTCAGAATACTAACCTTAGTAAAAAGACATACGAGTTGATATTGTACGATCAATTTTATGTATCTTATAGTGTTATTTATGCATATTGTGTCTATTTCGTTGGGTTGATTATTATTTAATTGTTTTAAAATATTATATTTTATATAAATAATTCGTAAATTAAAATTTTAAAAATACTCAAATATTAATTAATTTAGATCAAATATTATAGATTCTATTGTATTAATTCAATTTGTTCTAATCATAAAATTTGATTTTGTTTAAAACATCTAATTATGGATTATCATAGGTCGAATTTTCAGTCAACTTGACACGATTCGAGAAACATACACTCTTAACTCAAAACTCAATCTGATCCAATTATAGGAAGGTTTCTTTTTATTCAAAATCTAAAGTAAATTTCGAGATAAAAATTCACGCATGACTTGATCTAACCCATATATAATAAAATTTTTTGTTCAATAAAATAGAGATTTGGCTTAAAAAAACATAGAGAATAATATAATAATATTTATCCCTAAATATATAAATAAAATATATGATAATTATTTTAAATTAGTTAATCTGGAGATTATTTAAAAATGAACTGAGTTTAATTCAACTAGGATAATTGTAAATTAAAATATTCAATTAGGATAGACTGGATAGTTATTAATCTAATTGGGTCAAACTTAATTATATAATTATAAAGTAATAATTATCCTAATTATAAAATTATTAAAGTTTATATTTGATATTAAATGTATGTGTTATATCCTTTGAAAATAATACATCCCCTTTAGTGGAGAAAGCGATACGAAGCATTGCACGACCACGTTTGTTAGCTTTTTTTAATCATATATATATATTGCTGTTCTCCCGGTTTCAAGGCTTCGTTTTGACTAATATGGACCGATCCACGTCGCACATCTAGTTTTGGTGGGTGAGTCTCCCAATAAGAATTTTCTGCATATATAAAGACTCGAACTCGAGAACTTGTTTAAACGATATAAAATTGCTTACCACTTGAATTAAGCCCGATTGGTTGATCATATATATTTAATATTATTCAAATGAGAGGAGAATGTATATCCTTCAATATTTAATTATTTCTCTTCTCAAATTAATATATATATATGAAACTATCTCATCCAGAGCCGTCTTGTAAATTTTGGTGGCCCTATGCAATAACAGTAAAATAGGTCTTTTAAAACTAAAATAGTAGATATATAAAGTTCACTAATATTTCAAAATTTATTACAACTATAAGAAAACGTTAAATAGTGATAAAAAATATCTTCATGTAATAAAGTAAAATACAAAGTAAGTTATTCTCTAAATAATGTGGGCTTTAGACTTAAAATTTTTTGGGCCAAACATCCTAAATACACGTATATACAAAAGACTTAAATTTTTTTGGAAACCCTTATAAAAATTGAGCCCTATGAGGTTGGGTAGCCCGCAGGCCCAAAACCGGCCCTGATCTCATCTTATTTTCAAATACATACATAGCATACACGTCCGGGATCAAGGGTGAAGTTGGAAATTTCAGTTAAGACTGAATCAAACCGTAATTTTAAAGTTACTGTATATATATATATATATATATATATATATATATATAAAGAGTTAATTGCATAATATGTCCTCAAACTATAACTTTAATTTTAAATTGGTCCTTAAACTTTTGAATATTCCAATTTCATCCCAAACTATGACTCTCATTCTAAATTAATCCTTCAACTTTTGAGCATTCTAATATCATTCCTAAACTATGACCCTATTTATAAATTGGTCCCTAAACTTTTGAATATTCCAATTTCATCCTGAATTTATCCAAATATGTAACTAATATCAATCATAATTTAACCTAAATTTCATTTTTTTCAAACATATAATAATATAACTTGACCTAACGGTCTTATTGACAATGGATGCGATTAGTATATAAATATGGCTTGGGATGAAATTAGAAGGTTCAAAAAGTTTGGGGACCAATTTAGGATGAAGGTTATAGTTTGGGGATGAAATTGAAATGTTCAAAGGTTTAAGGACTAATTTAAAAATGATAGTCATAGTTTAGGGATGGAATTAGAAAATTTAAAATTTTAGGGACCAATTTGAAATGAGGGTCATACTTTGAGGATATGTGATGCAATTAACTCATATATAAAAGGACACAATCATGCTCCATTCGAGTTACCTCAATGGTTAAAAGATGATTGTTATCAGGTTTTAACACTAAAAAAATGATAAACTAAAACTTAATTTATCTTATTTTTTAAAAACTAATAAATTCCTAAAAAGTAATAAATTTTTTAAAAAGTTGGAGGTCAAAACTTAATTTATCTAGCTTAAAAATTAAAAGGGACGAAAGAAATAATTAAACCAAATATTTAGGGGGCATGCGTGTCCTATCCCATGTTACAATAGTTTGTCTCTATATGTATTTATACAAATACATATTTTAATATTTTTTTTCAGGCCTTACATCATTCAAAATTCATTCAAAAAATTGTTTTTATATATAATTGAATTGAAACTTCTTTTGTAGGACCTCTTCAAATTTCAACTTTTGAAATAAGTCCTCTATGTGCTGAAGGGTCATCGTTAAAAGAGTGTTGATTTTGAAAGCTTTGAAGGTTTTCTCAGTTTGAAATTTTCAACAATTAAATAGTTTGGAGAGCTTGGAATTGAACTTATAAAATATAGTTGGTAGGCTAAAACTGAGGCACCACTCAATTAATTATTCCAAGCTCCTACCTGGTTAAACCGATAATGTACTAACGGGGTTGATTCAAGTTATAAGTAGTTTGATATCGTTTAAATAAGTTCTCGGGTACAAGTCATTGTATATTAAGAGAATCTCTGTTGGGAGACTCATCTTCTAAAACCATGTCTACAACGCAGGTCGATCTATATTAGTCAGGACAAAACGAACCGGTAATACAACAAAAAATAAACAGCAATTAATGTAATTGCTTGACCCATCCCTTTTTATATTCAGAGTTCGACATTCCATCCGTCTAATGCAACTCCTACAAACGCCTCAAATCCAATATTGTTCTTTGTATTTTGTTCAATTTATTGATAATTACAAGTGTTACATTGTTCTTATATTTTGTTCAAATTCCTTATTTATCTTTGAATGTGTTCATGTTCGATTTATATCTGTTTGATTTTTCAGTATCATATTTATGTTCGTTTATTTATTTCTGAAGGTGTTTATATTTGTTCGTTTAACGTTTACGAACATATTCATTTAACGTTCGCAAACATGTTCGCTTAATGTCCTACAACCAAAACTATCTTTTTACCATTTTATTTGCAAGTCAAAGAAAAATGGTGAAATTTTATCATTAGTCCTTATTTTTCTTAGATTTCAAAGTTTGAACTCCAAAGTTCACATCATATTTAATTTAGTCTTTATATTCACTAACATTTAAAATTCTAAAAAGAAAAAGAAAAGAAAAGAACCGAGTAAACGAGGTTATAAACTAATAAATAGACAAATTTGTTCATGAACTTAAACGAACTGAACACGCATCAATTTACGTTCGTTCGTTTATTAAATGAATATAAAAGTTTTATAAGTACTCGTCTTCTAAACTAACATAATCAAACATTATACGAATATTTAACCAACAATTCAGTGTACACTTTGTAGATTTATACTCATAGGGACAAGAATATTGCAAAGTTGTGCAATGCAATTTTTATTTTCCTAAATATTTGTACAAATACGTTTAGAAAAATGAAAATCGTCCAGGAGGAGAAGAGGTCATCACCTGACACCTTCGATCTCAATCTATAACCACCAAATAGGAACGCGACACGTAGCTTACACCACGAAAGAAAGAAAAGCACAAACTAAACAAAAATCGTATTCGAAACAACCTCGATCAGTGACTTAATCAAAGCCCTCTCTGAGCGAGGTAACCGGGCAAGGGACTGGCACGCGGCGAGCGCATGGGCAACTCGTCGAGCTGATTCCCTTTGCTGTCGTAGTAAATCACGCCCGAGAAATCCAACGGCTGACATTTATCCCCCATCAGGATAGACCTCTGCCACACGCCGCCGTCCCCGTAATCGTCCTCCGCATCTTTTCCGTATCCGTCGCCGTGCTTCTTCCGCTGTACGAGCATGATCGCCTTGTTGCTTATCGTCGTCAGGAGCTGCTTCGGTCCCGGCGATTTCGGCGAGTAGAATCTCGGAGTGCCGGAAGCTAAGCCGTTCTGCTTAGGCTTTAGCTTCTTGGAAAGCCGGCCGGCGCGCTTGGCGCATATCGCCATGAATGAAATAAGGAAGCCGACAGTTAGCCGCTGATTGTGTGAAGCAGAGCCGTGTGCCGATGAATCCATTCTCAGCTCTGTGTTTATTTTGCTTTCCGAGGAATGGAGTTTTTGGCGGTTTTAGAGGCTTGGCGGTATATATAGACGAGAGAGGTGTGGACGGGTTTACCGGTTATAGCCCGTGGAAATTTCGTTGACTTAATTATTTATTTATTTTTTGTAGGGAGTAAAGAGTATACATTCGTAAATTAATTTATTTTAGTTTTAGTTAATCAACAAATTAATTCGGTTAAGTTGATTGATCAACCATAAAATGTGATTCACGAAATTGATTTTGAGAATATAATGATTAACGATTTAAAGAAGCCAATCTATTACTAATTGAGTCTTGGGTTCGAGTCATTGTATATGCATAAAATCTCTGTCGGGAGACTCACCCACCAACCTATCAAACCCAGGTGTGCAACGGAATCCGAATTAATCAAGATAAAACATTGGAATCGGGAGAAAAAAACAATCTATTTAATTAGATTAATCAAAATTTGGTATTTAAATGGATTTTGAGTTATTAGTAGTTGATTTTTTTACTTTATTTTATTATATAATAAAGGGTACATTACGCATTTAGTGTTTAAACTATCAAGTTTAATCTATTTTAGTATCTAAACTTTTTAATTTTTTTAAAATTATACCTTTTAGTTTTCATTTTATTTTAGCACCCGTTGTTAAAACCTTATTGCGTTTAATACATAAACTTTTAATTTTTTTCAAAACTAATTCAGTTTTTCAAAACTATATCTAAACTTTAGATATAGTTTAGATACTAAATGTGTAATTTATCCTATAATAAAAAATTATTTGTTTAAGATTAAATCGAATATATAATATTAATCAATATTTAGATTATGTTTTTTTTTCTCAATACAACGTAAATTTGATTAACTTTGTATTTAAGTTTTTCTATTCTTATTTAGAGATAGAGTTATTTTTAATCTCTGAATTCGATGATTTTTTAATTTAATCTTCGAACTTTATTTTAATTCATACTAATTCAATATCTTGATAATTTAGAGACAGAGGTATTTGATGCACTAGTTTTTGCTTTTAGAGTGTATATTTTAATCCGTTAACATTGACATTGAATTGGAATTTATCCTTCAACTTTTTTTGTGTGCAATTTAACTCTCGAATTTGAACTTGAGTTGCAATTTAGTTCCTAACTTTTGGTTGGATGCAATTTAATTTCTGACTTCAATTTTGACATACAATTTAGTCTCTAATAGTTTAACATTCATTGATGATCAATTAAATATTTGAATTTTATATCAATTCTACATGAGCATTGAGCTCCGTTTATTACCAAAAAGAACAAGAGGAGTGCCGTTGTTTATGCACTGAGAACAAAATGATTGCAAAATGTTAAAAAAGAAAAAAAAATATACAAAAAGAAAATATTAAATATTAAATATACATGTAAGGCCATCTCCAGCGCATCGCTGGAGTGACATTCATCTCCACTTTGGAGATGATTCTATGCTCCAGCCCATTACCATTGTTATGTTGGATTGTGGCGTCGGGCTACAGTGCACACTACAATTGGCGTTGCACTGTAGCTGTGCTATAAATGTTTTTCTTCTTCTGATTTTTTGGTTTTTTCTTTTAATTTGAACGTTGAGGATTTTTTTTCCTGATTTGAATGTTGAGGAATTTTTCCTGATTTTTGATTTTTTTTATTATATGTAGAGATAGTGCTGGAGATAGTGTTGCATATAAATTATTGTTTCATCTTTAGAGTAGAGATAGATATGATGTAGAGTAGAGATGAGGGCTGTAGATGGCCTAAGGTCGAGTTATTTGAGTTGACGAGTCATATTTTACAACTCGAAACTAGTCTTTAATTTTTTTGAGTCGAGTCGAGTTTAAGAAATTTGAGTTGAGTTATTTGAGTTTAATAGGTTTTAATTTTTTGATTTCCTCTAACCATATAAGATATATATATATATATATATATATATATATATATATATATATATATATTTCATATTCTTTTCACATTATAATGTTATTTAATATATCAAATACAATCTAAAATTATAAACTATATTCACAATATTATATTTTAAAGAAAGAAATTTGAGAGTAAAATATTGATGGGAAGAAAGAATTTGCAAACAATTTCAGTCAAAAAATCAAATTGAGTAAAATGCAAAATTAAGGGACTAAATAAAAAAAGAATACATTTTTTTGTTAAAAAATTAAGAATTGAAGTTACATATATATTCTATAGAGGTATTTGAGCATGTGGTTCAAATAACTTCGGCCCTTAGGGATGTCTGGGTAGGTAATGGCCAAGGGCCTAAGATGGGAAGAGACCCAATGTTGGATCTAAAAATAGTTTTAGAGAAAAAGAAAAAGAAAAAGAAAAACATATTAAGACAAAAATAAAAATATATTATTTTTATTAAGAAAAACATAAAAATTTGAGAGACTAAATTGAAAAGTATAAAACCTTATATCAGAATGGGAAATTGAAATTACATGTGTATTCTACCATGAATTGGGAGCATGTGGTTCAAATTTGGTAAAATATAGACTTAAAATGAAGGAAGAATCGAAGGAATAATAAAATCATAGACTAAATCATAGAACTGTCAAAATACTTAGTCAAATTTTTGAGTAATTCGAAATTTCCAAATTTCAATTCAACTCAAACTTAAAAATCGAATCGATAATTCAAGTTAACTCAAATAACTAAAAACTAAAAAATAAAATTCGATCTTTCAAGTTGAATCGTTTTGCTCAACCCTAAATTAGAATTAGATGACCCCATTCCCATATGTAACGGGGATAAGAGAGAGATATAGTAATAGGCTGCCCCCAACGCCAGATTGAAAGCATCTTCCGTGAAAGACCTCCGTTATGAATTGCCATCAATTAGACTCGATCCCACGATCACAAGGTTAAGAGCCACTTGCTCAACCCTAAATAAAAGTACTATATCAAGGGATTTTCTACGTGTCGTGCATTCAGCTGATGTAAAGAAAAACAAGTGGGTAGGTCAACTCGTTTGGCAATTCCACCAGCCCAAGTCTTCGGATCCTTTTTTAATTAAATTATAATTATTTTAAATGAAGTGGACTTATATGGGAATATGCCCCACTTGGACTCAGCCTTCGAGACTTTTACAAATTTGTTTGTTTATCCCTTCATTTGGACCCACCACAACCTTTTGTCATTTGGACTTGGTCTCAAATCATTTAGATAAAATATTCATACATAGAGATTATTAAATTATCCTTAAATTATCGTTTTATTCTTAGATAAGGTTGGTTCAAGTAATAATCAGTTTAATATCATTTAAATAAGGTCTCAAATTCGAATCTTTGTGTATATATATTTTTTTTGCTGAAAAACTCTTTACCAAATCCAGATGTGCGACACGAGACGATCCAGATTAGTTAAAGAAAAAAAGTAATAATTGAATTATACCGAAAGTTAATAATATATTAATCTAACCTTGAGGCTAATTCAAATATTGATAATTATAAATTTGAAATATAATTAATTTTTTTATACTAATTGAAAATACGAAGTCCCAAATTCTCTTTGTTGGAACCTGTACTCCCTAATCAATAAACAAAAATGCTTGTGCATGTCGGGAATTGCAATAACAAATAATTGGTGATTAAAGAATATTGTTTTGTTAGTAGAATGTTTGTTGGGAATTTGTCATGTGTGGATTTTTTTTAATAAAATTATAGTATTACCATATATTTTGAGAGGTTTGAAAAAAATTATTATCTAGGGATGACAATTTAACTTGAAATTGACATGTTTCGAAACGACCTATCCGATAAAATCAAATTTTTAAAAAAGATTCGGGTTCAGATCGAGTCATGTCCGTTTTTTAACAGATTAGGGTAAAAAAACTCTGACCCATTCGAAGATAATAATGTAATTTCTTTAAAAAAATTGTTATTTTAAATTCAATCTTTATTTTATATAATTTTCGAGTCGAATTGAGTTCGAGTAGAGAATATACATTTTCGGGTCAAGTGGATCGAAAACATACCCTAACCCAACCTGTTGCGATCTCTATTATTATCAAATCCAGTCCGATACGTTACATATTTGACATTCACAAAAAGTCATTTAAATATCTTTTATAAGAGTATTATTATTATCCCAGCCGATCGAGAATGTATTTGTCACAATTTCAAACCAAACCTAATTATCTTTTCAATAATATGAACCTAAAAAATTAGATCGATTCGAATGATGGTAAAATAATCAGGGATAGACGTAAGATTTTATGATAAGGATAAATTTAAATTTATAAAATTTTAGGTGTGAAAACAAATTTTCAATAGAAAATATATAAAAAAATTCTAAAATGTGCGATAATTTTAGATTTTTAAGGGGATGATCGCCCTTACTTGCCCCTGCATAGATCCATCCCTAAAACTAACCATATCTAAGACTTAAGCTAAAATCATTTATAAAAGTAATATGATCATTCTCTTGAACTTGAGTTCAACTTCCTTGAATTGTTCACCTAGAGCAACGAGTATCAAGGGTCATTTGTATGATTCCAAGGAAGCAACTCAGAAACTATATATTATACATATATACCAATGCTCATTTGTATATGGAGAATTAATTAATGAAATCAAACAAACGTGAATAACCTTTATGGTATCAGTTGCAAGTCAACCTTTTCCCATATATAAAAAATCAAAGTCCTATTGGAAAAGTATTAGGGTCGGGTGACCTAAAAATCAAGGTCAATACTGTGTGCTTTACCATAGATAGATATAAAAATCAAGGCATATTGGGAAGGTATTAGTGTCTGGTGACCTAAAACTCAAGGTGATTTTTGATTACGTCCCGCCCATATATTATATATGGTAGGTTACCTTCCATTTTAGTTTAGTTTTATGTAATTAGTGGGTTAACCAAGTTGATGAATTTAAGTGGAATTGGATTTTAATTTGTGGCCTCTAACTATAATATATCTACATCAATCGGTCACTATCACCTAATAAATCGACCCACGCATTTGATGAATT